GAGCCCGCGGAGCCGGGGATTTTCTCTGATCTGGGGTTATTTTGTTCGCCCTTCAGGACATCCAGCACACGGAGGAATTTCTTATCAAGCCCGAGTCCCGGATCGCTCAGCTGGACACGTCCCAGTGGCCCCTCCTGCTCAAGGTAGAGCCAGTTCTCGAGAACTCGGTGACCCCTCCCAGCTGCTTTTGCCACAGAATCACAGAATTGTTGAGGCTGGAAAAGGCATCTGAGATCATCAAGTCCAGCCTATGTCCCAGCACCACCACACGGGAACGACCCGCACCACACGGGCCAGACCGGGGCACTAAGTGCCACATCCAGCCTCTCCTTAAACCTCTCCAGGGACGGTGACTCCCCCACTGCCCTGGGCAGAGCATCCCAGTGCCTGAGCACCCTCTCCATGAGGAAGGGCTGCCTGAGATCTAACCTAAACTTTTCCTGACGCAGTTTCAGGCCGTGCCCTCTTGTCCTGTCACTGGTTGCCCAGGAGAAGAGCCCAACCCCCACCTGACTACACCCTCCCTTCAGGCAGTTGCAGAGAGTGAGAAGGTCCCTCTGAGTCTCCTCCTCTCCAGGCTGAACACCCCCAGCTCCCTCAGCCTCTCCTCACAGGACATTCCCTCCAGTCCCTTCCCCAGCCTCGTTGCTCTCCTCTGGACCCGCTCCAGCCCCTCAAGATCTTTCTTGAAGTGAGGGGCCCAGAACTGCACACAGGCCTTACCAGTGCTGAGCGCAGGGGCAGAATTACATCCTTACATCTCCTCTCCCGGCACAGGCCCACAGGGATGCACAGCTCCTCCTTTATGTAACCGTGCTGCTAAGAACCAGCATGTGTGGCACAAAGCAGGCAAACCCTCTGCCTGCAGAAATCACGTTACAAAATGTGTCCAGCACTTCCATTTGTGTGATTTCTTCCTAAGTTTGCTGTAAAGAGCACACCAGGTTTCTTCACCCATTTATTTCGATCTGGCAGTGCCCTGTGGTCCGTGTAGATTTCCACGTTGCTTGTGCTGAGTTTCTGGGTTTATCCTGTATTGTAAAGGTTGGCATTTTGCTGCTTTCCTATCTATTTCAGTGCAGGACTTCCTTTCTGTAAAATATTTGTTGTGCTTTTGTTGGGTCATTTTCATTTTGGAAGCAGCTCTTTTAAACGTACAGGTCGGATGATGTGTCACCAGGGAGATGTGCCGGGACAAAGCAGTGTTGAAAAGAAGGTGAGCTGAAGAAAATCTCTAACTTTTGCTTTGATTTTCTAGAACTTTGACAAGTTAAATGTGATGACAACACACTACACACCTCTTCCTTCCGGTGCTAATCCCCTGAAGAGAGAGATTTCAGACTATGTTAGGTGAGTGCAATAAGGGCCTGAGTGGTTTATTTTTTTGCACAGTTAATACCTTAAAAACATTTTGTGTTCTGGATTCACCTTGCACCTTTCTGCTTGACTTCGTGTGTTGCTGCTAACCAGTAAATGTCTAACTAGGACCTGCAGGTGACTTGCTGTAAGATTTGCGTTGTTCTGAGTTTGTGGCTGGGCTCTGGACAGATGTGCAAACACTTCAGGAATTCCCTGGGGCCTTACGGAAAGTCCTTTGGCCTGCCAGGCTTTGAGACTGCTTGGAATTTGTAGCATTTATTTTGGGGAGAATTCTTTGGGTGTGGAATATATCATGTGATGCTTACAGATTATCTGGCTGTATGGAAATACATTTCTTCAGCCACGTTTGTCGTGCCTGCAGAGTTTTTTGTGCTCTTGCTGCGTTTGCCCCGATGCTTAGCTCCTACTACCCATTGTCTTGCACTATAGGTCTGGCTTTATTAACCTCGACAAACCTTCCAATCCGTCTTCCCATGAGGTGGTTGCGTGGATCCGACGCATCCTTCGAGTAGAGAAGACGGGGCACAGTGGCACCCTGGATCCTAAGGTGACTGGGTGCCTCATTGTGTGCATTGAGAGGGCGACACGACTGGTCAAATCTCAGCAGAGCGCAGGTACGTTTCTTGCCTGGGACCATTTAAGTAACTGGGGAGCTGCAGAGTTCTACTGGAGGCAAAACGGAGATTTCTACTCGTTGAAAGGGGTTATTCTTGGTCTTCAGTGCCTTGAGCTTAAGCGTTGCTTATCTTTGTGACACCAAGCTGGAGAGGGTGCCTCCATGCTGTCACCAGTTATTTTATTTATTGCTTCTCTGCGGCTTGTGCAGTTTTAAGTCAGTGAAAATGCTTCTGACAGACGTTTTGGTGCTAACTGAACTCACAGCCTTGGCCTCCAGCAGCCTAGCAACATAGAAGTTGATGAAAAAAATAAACATAAGCTTCTTTTGTTGGAAGAATAACCAAGAGAAGTGCTCACAAAAATTTTGGGGCTCTGTGGATGTGTGGCTGTGAAGCAGTGTGGACCTTGAGGGCAACATTAAATGCAAGTGGCCACTCCTGACTGCTCTTGTCGTTCTTGCAGGCAAAGAGTATGTGGGAATTGTTCGGCTGCACAATGCAATTGAAAGCGAGGCTCAGCTTGCCAGGGTAAGTCTCGGCATGCTCTCAGCCGTGCTGGCATGTGCACCGTGTTTGGCATCGGTGGGAGGTGAGAGGGTAGGAGCAGAGCTCAGGTGCTGTGTGTGAGGTGATGACGAAGTTTATCCATTCTCTGAGTGCAGCTGTGCTGCCCTCCTGCAGCACCCCGGTTCCTGTCCTAGGGTCTGGGTGCTGCGCGGCCTCCAGACACCCTCCAGTCTCCCAGTGTCCTACTGGGGCTGCTGTGGTGTGTGGCTGGCTGCCTGCAGGAGGGGAGTGGTGCTGGCAGGGCTGGAGCCCCCCTTCTGGGGGCGCTCTGTCCTCACCGAGATGAGGGATGATGTCTGATCACATACTGCCACCTGATGGAAAAGCCCAGCTCTGCTTACTGGCAGCAGGAGTAGCATTTTGAGCACAGCACTGCTTCACCTTGGCTTTATTTAATATGTCATCACCAAATTATGATGAGCCTTGTGGCTTCTCTGGTGTTGCTGGAGAGCCCAAGGTGCTCCTGCCTTAGGGCACAAGGGTGAGCTCTTCTTTCTTCTACCTTCAGGCAATAGAAACTCTGACGGGCGCGTTGTTTCAGCGACCACCCCTCATTGCTGCTGTGAAACGACAACTGAGAGTCAGAACCATCTATGAGAGCAAGCTGGTGGAGTACGATCCTGAGAGAAGATTAGGTAAAACACGGCTTTCCTGCCTTCTCCCCGTTACACTGACAGCTGCTGAAGTGTCCTGGGAAATGAGCTGCTGCTTCTCCTTGTCATATATCTTAAGACCAGAATCCTCCCCACAGTCAGGCAGCAACTGCTTCATGTGTTATTTTGATATGCTGAGAAGCAAATCTTGAAATCCCATCTGTTTTTATTGGTTTTTAATACTGCTGCATCCTTCCTTGGGAGAGCCAAATGATGTCAATTAGATGGCATTAGCACTCAGTGCAAAGATGACCTTCATCTATCACCCTAAGCTGATGGCTCTGTGAGGGGTTGAGCATACAGCTTCTCTTGGAGGGAGCTTCTAGATGTGGTTCATTTCTAGAAAAAAAAAAAAAAATTAAATATTCTTCTGCCCTGCATTTCAGGTATTTTCTGGGTGAGCTGTGAAGCAGGCACATACATCCGGACGCTCTGCGTTCACCTTGGCTTGCTGCTCGGCGTGGGGGGCCAGATGCAAGAGCTCCGCAGAGTGCGCTCGGGCATCCTGGGAGAGAAGGTAGAGTGGTAGCTCCAACTGCAACCAGCAAATTTGAAATGGTCATAATTACAAGAGCTCCTCTGGAACTGCTTTCTCCTGACGCTGTCAAACTAACAGCAGCTGGGGGCGGTTTTGTGAATAGCCCTGAGAACGTGGGAGCTCTGGCTGTAGGCGACCTGTAACCAAAGTGTTGAGTTCAGGTCAGGGTGTTGCCCCTGTTCTGGTAATTAAGCTTTGGGACAGCAAGTGTCTGAGAAGTGCACTGCGGTGGCTTGAAAGTTTGTTCTGTGCCACCTGTGTTTCTCAGCCTACAAAATGCGAGTTTGCCACGAGTTCAGGCACGTGACCTGTCTGCGTAATGATCTGCAACTCCTTGGTGTCGGGGCACAGTGCAAGGAGTGGGCTTCGTTGAAATGAGCCTGGGAGGTGAAGTCTTGTGTGGTGAACGCTTGGACAGTCTTTTCTGTCTGGTCATTGCTGGATCCTGCTGCTGGTCTGAACTCCAAAACCGATTTCTTTTCTTGCAAAGCAGAAGTGTCACAGTGTGAGTGCTTCCCCACCCATCTGTTCTTTTACCACGGCTGTAATCACTGGCAGTCATTCCTGAATTGGAATTGGTGGTTCATTTAGACTTCTCCTCACTAGTCTTTGCTCTGAAGTCCCAAGTATTTTTTTAAGTCTGGTCATATTTCAAAGTTTCTTTGGGACAGACGTTATCCACTAGATCCAAGTGCTGTCTGAGATTAGGGAGGTTTAGCACAAGTCCGGCTGACCTCAACCTGTTGATGGGAAGTGTTTTTGTCCTTTTTTTTAGCTTGCCTTTTTGATGGTGCTGAGTTGGGCATCTTATTTTTCACTCCCTTTCAGCACACAAGTTGGTGGCTGCTTCCGAGAGTTAAGAGAGGTTGTGTCTTTGCAGGACAACATGGTGACTATGCATGACGTACTGGATGCCCAGTGGCAGTACGACAACAACAAGGACGACAGTTACCTGCGAAGAGTTATCCTGCCCTTGGAGAAACTGCTGACTTCTCACAAGCGGCTGGTCATGAAAGACAGTGCGGTGAGTTCCGGAGAGTTCCAGCTGACGGCTGGAAACTGTGAAGTGCTCTCCTAACTAATGCAATAAATGGGGGTTCAGGATCATGTCCTGACTGCGAGCTGTGTAGAACCTAATATGGACCACGGATCAGCAGTAAGATGCCAGAGCCAAGAACTGAGTGGCAGAGAAGCTGCTCTCCTCCCTTCAGGAGGATGCTGATGGTTATAGATCTGCCTCACGTGTTGTTCGCTGTGATAAGTGCTTTGCTGTGCTTGCTCTTGTCAAACCCCAAGTTTTATCTGGTGGACAATAAGAAATGCTATTGCTGAGACAGCGGTGACAATGGGAAGCTAAAATATTAGAGGCATTTGTTAATTTATTCTCTTAATCGCTTATAAGCTCTCCTGTTCCCTGTGTTTTCAGGTTAATGCCATTTGCTATGGAGCCAAGATCATGCTGCCTGGTGTCCTGAGGTATGAAGATGGCATTGAGCTTAATCAGGAGATTGTTGTCATCACCACGAAAGGAGAAGCTATCTGCCTAGGTATGGAACTCCTTGTTCTTGCTGTGCCCAGCTGACCGCAGAAATAACAGACTGTATTCTGGTGAATGCCCAACAAATGAGTCTTTGTGTGCCGGAGGTTTTAACTAGTGCTTTCTGATGGGAAATGTAAATTAGTACGGCCCTGGGGAGCAGGTGTTGGGCAGGATGTTAAGAAAGAGTGGCTGTACTGGTCCTTGGCAAGGTGCAAAGACTACCTCAGCCTGGTTTCAGCTGCGTGGTGCTTGGGTGTGCTCCACGTGTGAGGTGATGACGAAGTTTATCCATTCTCTGAGTGCAGCGGTGCTGCCCTCCTGCAGCACCCCGGTTCCTGTCCTAGGGTCTGGGTGCTGCGCGGCCTCTGGGTGCTGCCCGGCCTCCAGACACCCTCCAGTCCCCAGTGTCCTACTGGGGCTGCTGTGGTGTGTGGCTGGCTGCCTGCAGGAGGGGAGTGGTGCTGGCAGGGCTGGAGCCCCCCTTCTGGGGGCGCTCTGTCCTCACCGAGATGAGGGATGATGTCTGATCACCAGCTGCCACCTGTCACATCACACTTCCTGAGCAGATCGGTGTAAAAGGTCTGGAGCAACCATTGGCTTCTGTGAAGTAACTCGGAAAGGTGTTTTGTCTTAACCAGGGTCTTCAAAGAAGCTGTGTAGGTGACAGGTGCTTTGTCATGCTGCTTGGTGTTGTGTGGCCTCATGCTCTGCCCAGACCTGTTGGACTCAGGCACCTTGGAGGTGTAACACAGCCAAGCTGTTCTGCCCTGTTGTTTGTACTGCCTGCACTCTGCTCATCTCAGGGCCCTGGCCTGAAAAAGCTTCACTTCTTGGTAGGATTAGTCTCCTAGTTTGGCTCTGCAAGATTCTGGTAGCTGATGAAGGAGCATCACTGTTCTGTTGTGTAGTGATGTGATTCCTTGAGCTGCCTGGAGGTGTTCCAGCAGCTGCTCACAGAGCTCTTCCCCATCCAGTTGGGGTATTGCTCTGGGAACTGGCTGGTCTTGCTCCGTCGCTGGTGTTCTGGTGTAAATGGAGAATGTGGTGCTTCTGGTGTAGTTAACTCCCGACTGACGCACTTGCTGCCTTTGAGCAGGGGAGCTTTCTGAAGTGCTGAACTCTGGTAAGGTTTTGGAGTGAAATGGCACTGGTGCGGGCTGGTGCTTCTCTTTGTGCTGACAGAGGGACAACAAGCTGAACGCAGCAGGTTCCTGCGTCACTGCCGCAGTTCTGCTGTTGAAGAATTAATGAACTCTTTCTGCAGCCATTGCCTTGATGACTACGGCTGTCATTTCTACCTGCGACCATGGCATTGTGGCAAAAATCAAGAGAGTGATCATGGAGAGAGACACGTATCCCCGCAAATGGGGTCTCGGTCCCAAGGTGAGTGGCGACGGGGTGAGGTCGGTCCCAGGGCGGCAGCTGGCATGATGTGGGACGCATCTTCTGCGCCCGTGTCTTCTCCAGGGTCTCGATGTAATTCTGCCGGGCTTTCCCAGCGCTGCAGTGGTGGCACTTCCCACTGCCGGGGCTGTTGCTAGCCCATTGCTGGTGGGAGCGAGGTTTTCTCACCCAATGGAGCCTGAGGAGCTCTACCTGAGTCCCAGCTGGGGCTGCTGCTGTGCTCAGGGGCGGCCTCCTAGGGTCTGTACAGCACCAGCCCTCCTCTGGAAAAGAGCCAGATGATGCGAAGTGGATGACATGAGCACTCTGTGCAGAGATGACCTTCATCTATCACCCCATACTGATGGCTCTGGGGGATGGGTGGGCAAGGAACTGATTTTCCTTCTGCTGCGACTGCAGTGGTGCCAAAATGCGCAAACTGTCTTCATGAGACAATAAATTGGGCCTGAAGGACAGGAGCGGTGGGAACACCTGTTGTTGGGTTCCTTTCCTGTCTCAAGCATGTGGTAGTCCCGGAATTCAGCGGTCACACCTTGGAGTCTTTAGCAAAGCCTTGTATTTGCAGCTGGAGTTGTTCAGCTGAAATGCAACCGGTCACTGAGGTGGAGAAACCCAGTCAAAGATCTGGGCTCTGCAATGTGTGGACTCATCTTGTGCTGCTGCTGTTACTTCCCCTACAAATCAGCCCTTATTTGCTGATGAAGATGTCTCCTGTCTGAGAGGAATGCAAGGGGTGTTTTGTGTGATTTGCTAGAAAGTCCTCGGAGAAGTGTTGAATCAGTAATGCTGTAGTTGTTGGATTGGCTTGTTCCTGTATTACCTTGAAGGGCTGAAGCCCCAGGGAGGATTTCTCCCTGGAGCTGCATCCTGACTGGCTGAATGTTGCTCTCAGGCCAGTCAAAAGAAGATGATGATCCAGAAGGGTCTGTTGGACAAGCATGGGAAGCCCAACGAGAGCACACCGGATTCCTGGAAGAAGGACTATGTGGATTACAGGTGGGTTCAGGGTATGTGGCTCCCGCATGGTGGATAGAGGGGGAGCCCTATGCATCAAGGGCTGGGCTGAGTGCTGCCTTTTATGCTTGGAGCATGTAGGCCTGGCCCAAGGCTGTCGGCTGTCTGGACCCGTGGGGTGCAGTGGCATTTCTTGCAGTCCCAGAGAAACGCACTGCTAGTGGGCAGCACTGCAGGGAAAGGTCCTGAGCAGACGGTTATCCCTTTCTAGCCTATGCTTGTGGTTTTAGAGGGAGTCAAGTCTGCTAAATTAAATGGGAGACACCTTGCTGTTTATCCAGCCCAGCTGGTCCTGGTGCAGGCTGCGGGTCTCTCCCACACCACCCTCCCCGCTCAGCCCCTGCTGTGGGTTATGGAGTCCTTGCGAGGGAAACAGCGCTTTGGGCTTGTACAGAGCAGCGTGAAGCAGTGGCCACCCTGCTCAGCCTGGGAATCTTCTCTTTCAGAGATGCTTCCAAGAAGGAGGCAGCTGCCGTTCCTCAAGCTGTTTCAGAGGTGGAGAGGGCTCCAAAAGTGAGTATCGTTAGTGCTCTGGGGTTATAAGGTTATTACACGCCCTGGGCGTTTGTCTCTGGGATATTGTACTCTGGGTACGAGTCCTGTAGCACAGTGTAAACACAAGGAGCTCTGACTGGTGACCTGCAAGCTGTGAAATTCAAGGGACCGTGTTGTATGGAGCCACGGTGGAGGTTTGTTGTGCCAGTGAACCTTTGCCGTTGCAGAAATGCCCGTGCAAGAGTTGCATCTGAAGTTCCCTAAGTCAGGGCTTATGCGTGCACGTGGGAAGGCGCCAGCAGTGTTTTAAACTCTAGCATTTGGGGTACAGGTAATGCTGAAAACGATGCAGTTCTGGAAGAAGCAAATCCTAGACAGTGTGTGCTGGAGGGGACCAGTGGTGGTCTGTGGCTCACCCTCCTCAGAGCATCCTTAACTGTGAAGTTGGATTGAATCAGGCAAAGTAGTTGCAACCACCTCGCAGTTTTTCCATCACTCGAGCTCCTTTGGAAGAGGGTGTGTCTGACAACGTGTTCCCCTAACAGAGGAAGCGAGAGTCGGAGAGTGAAAGTGAGGAGGCTGTGACCCCGCCATCCCCTGCCACCCCGCCACCAGAAGAGCTGAGCAAAAAGGAGAAGAAAAAAAAGAAGAAAGAGAAGAAAGCCAAAGAGGCAGCTGACAGTGGGGGAGAGCAAATAGAAGTGGTATGTAACTGGATGCTGCCGTGGTAAGGTCCAGACATGGGAGCAATTGCTGTGTCTCACTAATACCTGCCAGATAAATGCGTTGGCATCTCGCTGTGCGTGTCCCCAAAGTGCCAGGTGCCCCAAAGGCAGAGAAGGATACTTGTAAACTGAACTGGTTGAGGGTGGCGGGAGATGGGGCAGATGAAGCTCATGGGGCTGGCTGAACTGGGATGGGGTGAGCAGCCATCTCTGCCCCGGGGCAGTTGTGGTGGGTACATGCTCCTGCCGGGCCACCTCTGTGCTCAGGTGACGTATCAGTGGCTCCAGTGTCCTGTAGCTGGTCCTGGTGGGAGAACGGTGCCTGGCACGGTTCTGGCATTTGGTTGGTGTGGTTGAGTGTTTGAGCCTGAACTGTGTCAGTAGTGGCGCTTTTCTTCCCGAAATGAGTGGTGGGGGATTCCTTCCTGACCCTCTCCAACTTCTTCACAGACCACTGAGGCCAGCACAAAGAAAAAGAAGAAGAAGAAGAAACAAAAGGAGGCAGAAGAGAGCTCAGAGTAAGCGACGGGATCTGTCCAAAGCAAGCAGCCTCCTCGGTAGGGAGGGAGGAGTCTGAGGCCTTGAGGAAAAAAGACGACTGGCTGTGTGGCAGAAGGGCCAGCAAGTTCTAAACTCTTTTTCTGCTGTTTGTACAAGTGAGCAGGTGTGTTTGCCCGGGATACACCTCGCTTAGGTCCCCCTCCTCATCCTGTTTTAAGGGTTGCTAGAGGAGCGGGGTGCCTGATTGCCCCGCGCTGGATTGCTCTCTAAAGCTCAACACCGTGATCCGAGTACACTTGGTATCTCCAGGGAAGTTGTAGCTCCTGGCTCGTACTTGTGTCTCTGTCTTTACCAGGAGAGGGAAGAAAAACAATTCTCCCCCGTCTTGCCCTGCCTTTCTTCCTTTACTTACAAGGATGGAGCCATTGCCTGACAATTGCAGAATGTGTTGGGATCTGCAGGACTGGCTTTGTCACAGCCCATCTGAATGTGTTTGGGTGGGGACGATGAAATCGGTTATTTGAACGGCTCCGGCTGGTTTTAACTTGGCCCTGTGTTTGGCTTGACCCTAAGCTGGGTGTGATCAAAGAGTTCACCCAAGTATTTTTGGGTACTTCTAAAAATTTTATCATAAAAGGATTAGAACATTAAATTCCTGCTTTTCACTTTATACTGACCCCCGGACCCAGTGCCCCAGTGACCTTTTCGGTGCATACATCTTTCTGGCTCTCCTCTTTTCTACCCAGTTGGTGGAAGGGCACTGCAGCGCTTTCAGTTGCCTTCCCTGGTTTTGCTGTTTAACACACTCTGAAGGTTAGAAGTGGGGATGCTGCTGCGGGGCAGAGGTGAAATAACCAGAAGGCAGCTGCCCAGTACGATTTCCTGAAGGGCTGGTGGGACCCAGAGCCCTTGTGAGGAAAGCTTGGCCAGAGGCAGCCCTGCAAGGACTTGAACGGCTTCAGAAAGAATTGTCCTAATTTCCTTTCCCGGCGTGGCTTGCTGGGGGTGGCTGCTCTCTCTGTCACAGGGGTAGTGCTGAGTCAAGATTTTAGCTGCTTTTAATGGGGAATGACCCAGCCTGCTTCACTCTGAGCTTCGTCCCTGCAGAGTTTCTGTAATGTTTGTCTTAGCCTCATGCATTGCTTTTGTCTTAACCATCTGACTTCTCTCCTCTCTGATGCTAGAGACAGGTGCAGGTAGCGAGGCCAGCAGCCCGTGGCTGTCACAACCTGAGCAGAAAAAAAAAAACAAGTCCATTTTTTATTTACTCATTTTTTTATGTGAAAATAAAAGCCCTATTTTTGAATGGGTGCTTTTTTTTTTTCCTTGCTCACCTGGCTCCTAGAAGAGGTCGGTGATTCTTGGTGGGGAGGGGAGGCAGCCTAAAGTGTGGCTGGTGGTGGCTGGAGGGACTCTTTGGTCTTGGCCAGCCTAACCTTGAGTGGTGGGAACAGCCTTCCAGCTGTGAGCTCAGCCTAAGAAGTAAAACACCAGTCGTGGTGATGTTTCAGCACACGTTTATTGCTGCTTACTGTTTCCCTGCAGTGGATCAGAACGAAGGTCCCTATTGCACATCAACAGATTTTATTTTTGGCATCCTTGAAAAAAAAAAACCAAAACAAACACAAAACTAAATGCACGAACCTTCTTAGCCCCTTTCTCCTAGCTGACTGCTGAACACACAAATGACATTTTTTCACCTAAATGATGGCTGTGGTTTACCCAGGAGCCACGGTGATGCTTCCCAGACATGGTCATGGTGGGGCTTGCCAAGTCACTAGACTCCTGCTGCCCCCCCAAAAAAACAAACCCCGTGGTGGGGGTGGTTTTTACGTTTGCATGCAGTGTGTGAGACACCCTGGACTCCGGAAAACATGCCTGGATGATGACTGTAGAGACACTTTCTACTGCATGCAACAGCTATTGAACTGTTCCTCTGGGGTTTGGTCTGTGGGACATCCTCAGCTGCTGTTGAGTTTCTCTGGCTGGGTGGTAACAATCCAAGCTGCACGGTGAGAATTTAAATACATTGAGGTTTTACAACTACAGGGTAAATTCTGAGAACTCCCAACCTTGGAATGCGTGAGACTTGACCATCAAATCTGTGCTCACCTTTCTGGTCTTCCCAGTTTGTGAGGGGAAACTTGGATGCGGGAGCTCTGGTGTAGTCTGTGAAGCCTCCTAACGATGGGCTTCCTTGAAGCATTGTGGACACCAAGCCAGGGTTTTGAGGTGTCTGTGGCACAGCAGGCACTCCTGCACTTCATTTCCCTTGGGACTGATGCAGAGAACATCAGCCAGGCACTACAAAAAGATTGTGCTTTCCCCTGTCCTGTGAGGCAGGGAGCTGTGCTCTGAGCTAAGCCGGGCTCTGCTGTAGCCCTTCATGCTTTATTGCTGTGCCATAAAATCATTTGGGGCAGAAATCAAGGTATTTTGGGGCCCTCCCCCAGGGCAATCCCTATCCTGCATCCCCTCCCCATCCCTGAAGACCCCATGTGTGCGTGTCAACCAGTTGAGACCATGTCTGCGGAGCAGCAGAGGACGGGAGTTGTGCTGGGCTGTGTGTGAATCAGGGGAAGCTGAGGAGGTGGGTTTTCTCCCCACGGCTGCAGGATGGTCGATGGGAAGCGGCTGGGGTCAGATGCCCTCTCAGTAGACCCAGGAGACAGGCACCCACTGTGGAGAGCTGCAGGCCTGCTCAAAGGCCTCTTGCAGCAGCTGGAGGCTTTCTTCCACCCCGTTGTTGACTAGCGAGAGGTCAAAGTAGTGCGCGTATCGGCTCCGGATGCTCTCTGAATCCTTCCGGAGCTGCTGCAAAGCCTCTGACTGTAAGAAAGAGGAGAGCGCTCAGGAGCCTGGGGACAAGGGGAGTTTCACAACCTCTACTGGTTTTGGCTGGGATAGAGTTAAATTTCTTTTCAGTAAAAGCAAAGCTGCCTTGTCTACACAGCATCTCCACTAGTGGGGGCATCCGAGGAGGATCCTAGTGGGCAACTGTGCTTTCAACAGTGTAGTCCAACTACCGTAGCAGCTGCCTGCTTCTGTGCCTGGCGTGGGGATGAACTTGGGGAGCCATGCACGCTGCAGCTCTGCTGTGCGTCGCCTGGCAGCTCTTAGGGAGAGCAATGAACAAAGAGTTTGGGTCTTGTGAGCTCTGCTGGGTGGCATTTTGGCTCTGCTGCCTTCCCTTCTAGTAAAGAGTTACCTGAGCTTGCGGCAGGCAGCTATATATAGCGCCTGCAGCGGCAGGGCTGGCCCTGC